ATAAGCCCCATTTATAATGAAAAAGCAACCCCAGTGCTGTAATAACCCACATAAGGTACTGTCTAGCTATTAATAGCCTTATATTGTGGCTGGCCTGGCTGGCCATTAATACCTGGCATACGGGTACTCTACCCCACCCTGCAGCCCCCAATTGGGTGAATAGTAGCTGCCTACAAGACAGTTATCAATAGTGGCGGGTAGCAGCACGTTCCTGCAGCCAGAATAGGGTGCAATAGCTGGTTCCTGCACATAAACGGTAGGGGTTGCACAGCTGGGTGGGGTGGGAAAACGGCCAGGCACTATATATATATCGAAAGGAGCATCATGTAGCTTTCAAACACATCCAAGAGCATGCCATTTGGAGCAGTATCAGCAGAGATACAGATGTACCCCTGTTTTTGCCGATAGGCACATCCACTAGAATTGGTAATTGTGGATGGATCCCCTCCGTTCTTCTTTCATAGTGTGTGGTTCTCTCTCCAATAGACGGGATTGAAGTCCGATCTGAAAAATATGCACACAATCTAGATTAGATCACTGATTACGCTTCAGCCACAGCACTTTTGATGGCTTGATATCTCTGCACCACATTCCCCGATAAGCATTTGGTTTGTTGCAGTCTCTTACATGCTCATATGCAAATACGCTCTGGGTGTCATTTAGACGTGAAACACTCTGGACATGTCCCTGCGCATCTGTGCACGTTCAACACCCCTTCATTCATAGCTCCACAACCACTGCTCATATTGCCAAGCATCTTGCTGTGTTATATTTAAAATCTACCGCCTAACCTGCTCCCATTGTCAAAATCGTCATCAGGATGTATTTTAAACATATCTGTTCTTATCTTTATTCCCATCAATTCCTGTTCCTATCTTCACCATATCGTCTGATAACATTGGACATAACCGATCTGAATTACTCTTCACTTCACGTATTAAACACATCAACAATCATGAGATTTGGTCAGGAACTCAAGAAGATATGGCATCTGCAGTAGCAACAGGGTGCACTTTTGCTTCGCAGCTACACCTCCCACTTCACACAACCATGCAATTGGGCCCACACAGACATTGATATGGTGTAATGACACATGGAACATGTTTGTGTATACTACTAAACTCAATAGAGCATAACTGCCACACTTGGGGGTGAGTATACCACTGGATGCTTGCATGTATGGGTGTTATGTGAAGAGGTTTTATGCCACACTGTGCAGCTCAGTATTGCATTCCAGGCCCTGATGTGACATCTCAGCCAATTCTTGGCCGATCAACAAGATTATTTTTGCATCTTGAAGCTGTGTTCTATCTGAGTTCAGATTAACTACATATACCACTATCAGACCAGCGAGTAGCCTCAGATCAGGAGGTAAACTGAAGGTGAGATATGGGTTTACCAAGACTATCAGATATGCGATAAGAGATTTTGAACCTGATTTCGGCTCCGCTTTACAATGCTGAATGATTGCAGCAAACAGCATGGTGATTGGGGCTGCAGTTGTGGAGCTATGAATGAAGGGGTGTTGAACGTGCACAGATGCGCAGGGACATGTCCAGAGTGTTTCACGTCTAAATGACACCCAGAGCGTATTTGCATATGAGCATGTAAGAGACTGCAACAAACCAAATGCTTATCGGGGAATGTGGTGCAGAGATATCAAGCCATCAAAAGTGCTGTGGCTGAAGCGTAATCAGTGATCTAATCTAGATTGTGTGCATATTTTTCAGATCGGACTTCAATCCCGTCTATTGGAGAGAGAACCACACACTATGAAAGAAGAACGGAGGGGATCCATCCACAATTACCAATTCTAGTGGATGTGCCTATCGGCAAAAACAGGGGTACATCTGTATCTCTGCTGATACTGCTCCAAATGGCATGCTCTTGGATGTGTTTGAAAGCTACATGATGCTCCTTTCGATATATATATAGTGCCTGGCCGTTTTCCCACCCCACCCAGCTGTGCAACCCCTACCGTTTATGTGCAGGAACCAGCTATTGCACCCTATTCTGGCTGCAGGAACGTGCTGCTACCCGCCACTATTGATAACTGTCTTGTAGGCAGCTACTATTCACCCAATTGGGGGCTGCAGGGTAGGGTAGAGTACCCGTATGCCAGGTATTAATGGCCAGCCAGGCCAGCCACAATATAAGGCTATTAATAGCTAGACAGTACCTTATGTGGGTTATTACAGCACTGGGGTTGCTTTTTCATTATAAATGGGGCTTATTACACCTCTGGGAAGGTACTGTCATTAGAATATCAGCTTATTACAAGGCTAGAAGACTTTTGTCATAAAGTACGTCACTTATAACAGCCTAGGTGTCGCCCTGTCATTACTAACAAGGCTTATTACAGCTTGAGAGGCTTTTGTTATAAAGTACGTCACTTATACAAGCTCTGGGAGGGTGCTGTCATTAAGAATAAGGCTTATAACAGCCCAGAGGGGTCTCTGTCATTACAGATTTCACTTATAACAACACAGAGGGGTCCCTGTCATTGGAGAATTCACTTATTACAGCCCAGAGAGGCTCCTGTCATTACAGAATTTGCTTATGACAGCCTGAAAGATCACTGTAATAACTCTGCGTCATCTGCCTGTTATTACAACACAGGCATGCTTGTGATTGTTAGAACCCAACCAGGCTTTTCTACAATGAAAATGTGGTGGGTATCAGCATAATGAAGTGCCCACGTTCCTGGGGGATTGTATTACATTAGTGGTAACCACAGGTGGTCTCGCCCTTGCCCGCGTCACTCACCTCGCCCGTCTTTCCCTCGCCTCCCGCGTCGCCCACGTCACCCACCTTGATCTCGCATGCCTCGTGTCAGCATCACCGCCTGGTCAGCGTCGCCCACCTTAACCCGTCTAACCCCCGCGTCGCCGACATTTCTTCCCCATATCGCCTGTGTCGCCTATCTTGCCTGCGTTCGTCCTCACGTCGCCCGCGTCTTGCCCCCCATGTCGCCACATCACCTGCGTTCACCCCCGCATTGCTTGCGCTGCGTCGCCCGGTGCGTTGTCTGGCGTGTTGTCCATCTGCCCCCGCGTTGCCCGTGTTCACCCACGTCTTGTCCCCACATGGCGCTCTGCCCACCTCGCCCATCGTGCCCGCGTCACCGTAGCATAGTACTTATATCCCTACATTTGAATATATCTGCTTTGAGCTCTCCAAATGCGTGACTACCTGTGTGCTTATTGTCTCTAAATTCCGTCTAATTGCGTGTCTAAGGGTGATAATCACCCCTAATGTCTGCCCAATGTGTGTCTAATTCCCCACTACATGCCCAAATACCCGGAGTAGCACATGGCTAATTGTCGAGCTATTCTGTCTAATGGTCCGAATTCGCAGGGGACCGATCTAATTAGACACTAATCGATAATCCACGCTAATAGCCGATAATCAGCTAAATTAGTGCCATTAGTGCGAATTCGCACTTTGGGGTTTTCCTGATGTAACATAGCTCTACATACATACAGGCAATCGAGATACTCACCTAGCCCACAAAGACCAAGAGGTCGAGATGAGGGCTAGGACACGAAGTGCAAGTGCTAAGAGAGTCCGCGATACGGGCGCTTAAGCGCGGGAACAACCTTCCAATATAGTAGCAGGCAGAGAAAAGGCAAAGAAAAGACGAAAAATAATACGTAGGGCGAGTCCAGAGTCCGTTCCACGACACCCTCAGCGTCCAGCTTCTGGTGGAAGACTTGTGTGGTGTCAATGACGTCAACACCTGCCGGGCAGTCGACAATACGGAAGACGTTGTGGCGCCGAAGGTTGTCCATCTCGCAATGGATGGCCTCTTCCCACTGTCCCCAGTAAGGTGATGCTTGTGCCTCGCGCAGGTTCTTCGGGTCGTCGCCTAGCTGAACCAGACCGACCGCATAGTGCGCGGCCCAGCGGTATGCTACGTCCAGGGAAGTGGTCTCCGGTTGAGGTGTGTCTGTGGTGTCCGGGATGACGCTGGCGAGGGCGACAAGATCTCCCATGATGTCCCGTGCGTGCGTCGCGTTTGCTCGTGTGCGCCCGTCCGTCGTCCCGACTCCGTCCTGAATGTCGTGCAGCCAGCGCGAGGGCTGGTGTACGCGGTGCCCGCGACCCAGTGCTTCTTCGGCTGGCGCTTCCTCCACCACCTCAATCTCTCCCGGCTGCCGTTCATCCTCGCGTTCTCCTGCCAGTCCGTCCTCCTCCCACTCTTCCTCTCCGCTCTCCTGGTCCCTGTCGTTATCCATTTCGCACGCCCCCTGCTCGCGCGCCCCCTGCTCGTGCGCCCCTTGCTCGTGCTCTTCATCACGTGCACCTGTGGTGGGAGCGTCGTCCATGACGTCCTCAACCCGCGCCCCCTCGCTCCCATCGTAGGTGCGCCCCGCGATCTCCGAGTCGTCGAAACGTGGCTCCGGCGCGCTGGGCTTCATTCCGGTGTCCCATACGTAAGAGCGTGCCAACACGACCTTGTGTGTGCGTGGGATGTAGGCTAGCGCTGAGTCTTTGTGGTGCGTGCTCATACCGACGAAGTGTGCGTCCTCCGTGTTGGGGGCCAATTTCCGTGTGTGTTCGACGTAGATGTGCATGCGCTCCCCGAACGGACGCAGGCCACCGAGGAATGGGGGGGAGCCGAAGCGTTGTTCGTAAGGGGATGGCCCGCCTCGCGCTGTGCGGTTGTGGAGGAACGTGGCGTACCGGAATGCGAACGCCCAGAGCGTATTCGGTAAGCCGGAGTCCAGGAGCATGGCTGCGACGCGCTCGCGCAGTGTGCGGAGGCTCTGTTCCGCACGGCCATTCTGTGCGGGGGTATGCGGCTGGGAGGCAGACCAATGCGTGCCCACCTCTGCAAGGTGAGGGCGAAGCCCGACGAACTCGGGCCCGTTGTCGGAATGCAGCCACTTCGGCGTGATCCCACACTGGGTCTTAAGCTCCGCTTCCAGGTTGAGGTACGCCTGGTAGGTGCCGGATGTGGACTTCAGGGTCGACGCGTGTATCCAGCTGGTATGGTCGTCGATGAAAACAACGGCCTTATGGTCACCCCCCAGGAAGTTCTTGCCTGCGTCCCACACGTCGGAGTGGACCTTGTCACCGTACGCCGTCACTGGGATGTCATGGGCGCTCCCGTGCGCGGTGTCCGGGATCGCTTTGTGAGTGAGCTTAGCCTGCACACATGTCTTGCACTGTGTTGTAATGTCCGCGTCGGATAGCGCGATGCCGTCGGTGTGACCGTGCTTGACCATGTCGTGTGCAGTGCGAAGCGATATGTGACCCATGGTGTGGTGGAGGTCCATCACGCTGATAGTGAGCGGACCACGTTTGGCCGGACGCGTGCTCAGCGCCACCTCGTTCTCGGTGCCTAGTGCGGGAGTGGCTGTGTCTCCGTGTTCGTCGGCGAAGCATGATATGATCTGATACAGGCCGTGGTAGGACGGGATGCGCGCGACGATGTCACTGCTCTCGCGCGATTGTAGGCGGCATTCCCCGTGTGCGAAGATGGCGGAGTATCCCGCCTCGTCGGCCTTGCGGATGGAAACAAGGGAGAACCCGATCCCGGGTGCATACAGTACGTCGCGCAGCGTGATCGTGGTGGGCAGGCCGTCCGCGTCGAGGATGCAGACCTCCATATCGCCTTCACCGACAGCGTCGAAGGTGTCTCCATTGGCGGCCGTGATTGGGCGTGGAGGGGTAAGGTCGCGATAGTTGAAGAACCGGTGCCGGTAGGGTGAGATGTGTGCCGATGCACCGCTGTTGTACACCTCAACGTATTCTCCCGGGCAAGCAGCAAGTGCTGTGCCGGCGATGTTCTGTAGCGCGACGAAAGCCACTGCCTTCTTGCCGTTGCTGCCTGTGGATGCGCCGCCTCCAGTGTTATTGCCTGTTGCGTTCGCGCCCACGTTGCCCCCAGCTCCACCATTGTTGTTGTCGCTGTTGCCACCCTTCGCCTTCGGCCATGGTTGCCCCTCCACATCAGGAAAACCCCCACTTGCAAATTACACATCATTTGAACTAATGAGCTGTAAATTAGACGATTAGTTTGTTTGTAATAATTGAAGTTCCCCCCCTGCAAATTAGCAGTAGTGTCTCTAATTACTGCAATCCCAGACATTATATAGTGCTCATGGATGGGGGTGTGCAACATACTTTTCTAATAAGATCCTCCATGTCTAACTAGTGCAAACAAAGATATTGGGTAGTGCTCATGGATTGGTGTGTGCAACACAGTAGACACCAGATTAGTGCAATTTAGATACCAGTTAGAGTGATGGTCTTTCACTTATTGCATCATTATATATCAATAGTCACACAGAAGATGTTTACTTGAACGAGATTAGATGTATTAGCAAAGCAAGAGATTAAAGTAGCAGATGTAATCCAGGTGGAGGTACCATATGGGGAGCGGCAATGCATTATGGCGGGTATAGTAGGCAGTGAAATGCAGTGTCACGATGCGGACGCAAGAACACGGGAGCACAGGTGAGCCCGAGCAGATGCAGATGGACAGTACAGCCGGAAAGCGCATAAGCGTGGGCAAAGGGGAGCGCATGAGCACGGGCAAAGGAGAGCGGATGCGAACGAAGAGCGGATACGAACCGCAGCCAAAGGAGAGCGGATGCGAACGGAGAGCGGGTGTGAACAGAGATAAGTACAGTACAGCTTCCAGAGATCGCGGGAGTGCGGGAGAGGTCGGGCTTTACGCAGAGGATGTGGGACATCAGGAAAAACCCAAATCCATAATGAGATGTTACTGAGGCTTGTGAGGGCTAATGAGCCCGATTATTGTGTTATTCATAAGTATTATTTTTCGCTTACCCCTCTGCTAATGAGAGACCATTACATGGAGAAGGAAGAGTTAGTTGCAAGAGCAGGCCCTCACGAGGCATATTTAGTCTCACTCATGTCCGTAGATCACTGATTGAAGCACCAGATATTGAGTGGTAGCACTCATCACCCATACAATGTAGCGCAACCATGAACATTGATTCTGTATCAGATGCAGACAAGACTATGATCTAGCTACAGCGACATAGATGGACATATCAACAAGCGATGGTGACGCAATGTAAATGGTACTGTAGGTGCGCGGATAGAGAGGGAGAAATGTGGGGCCGAGAATGCGTGCACGGGGAGAATGTATATGAAGACGAAGAAGCTTCGTACTAACAGGCCTCTGCGTGAGGTGGCTGGTTGCGCGCGCATAGATACAGTGCGCACGCCGCTCACGTCACAGACGAGCACTCGTGCCCGTCGCCGCTGCGACCAACGTGCACGCTCAAGGGCGGCTCTCTCAAGCCTTTCGCGCACCGTCCATCCGCCGGTCCTCTCGGGGACCACATCAAGCGCACCACACCCCCGTGCCAGGGGCAGCAGCTGGCGAGCCGTCGACCTTGAAGACGACAAACGTGCACTCAAGCGGGACCGTGTGTGCACTCACGCTCACATGCCACAAGGCGCCGACCGCTCGCCGACGACGTACTCGGGGAAGACGATGGGGAGGACGTTGGTGCCGCTGTCAATGCCACCCGCTGTCGGGACGTAGACGTGGATGGGGATGACAAGGACGTTCCGGGGGCGGACATGGCCGTGGAGCGCGTACTTGCGCCAGGCCAGCGTGTATCACGCGGGGCTCTGTGCGTATGTCAGGGCATGCACGGGGGAGAAAAAGGGTCGGCAAAACAGAGCGGACGGAGGGAAGTACGCTGCCTCACCGGTGATGAAGATACTTGTGATCCCAGACCACATCCACTCAATGACTATGACCAGGTTCGTCGGGCTCACCGTGTGCGTCGTCGTCCAGGTCATGCATTTCATCATCCTTGTTCAAGACGGAAATTGGTGGGGACGCACCGCAACCATCGTGCCTCGATCCATCCATTGCACTCTTCGATACAGAGCGAGCCCTGCCCTTCTGGGCATTTTCTGGGCACGAAACAACCGCGAGACGAATGCGGACACACACCGCTGGTGTGCTGTCCAAATGTAACGGGGGTACATCGCGGTGAACAGGGGCACTCACGAGCATCAGTACCTTGGTCAATTCTCTAAAGCTTCTAAAATCTCTAACATAAGGGCTTAGAAAAGCTTAGAAATGTTAGCGGTTTTTAGAAATTTTAGAGCACTTAGAGATGATAGAGAAAAGCTAGGTGGAAAACCGTACAAAAATGTTATTTGAGCAGCTCATAAGTATGGTAGTCTATGTAACAGTTGATGTAGTAATGGTTGAAAGCATGTAAAGTATTGTAATGCTTCCAGTTTCGTCTAAGCCGCTGTGTACCAAAGTAAGGTATGAGATGGCATGACCGAACAATAGAGTCTAAAGGAATAATATCCATGGCACGTTGATTGTTATGTATCTCAGGGCGTACCACCCACATACCTGTGAGAGCATCTGGAGTATCCATAACAGGGTCGAACCACTCAACAAGTGCACATGGATGAACTTCGAAACAAGTAGAGAACGAGAAAAGCCGACGAACTTGAGCAACTGCCATACCATGCATGATATCATCTGGATCCCCCACCTGCACAAGTACAGTGTCATAATGTGGCTCACGACGCAGCCAGAAGGGAGTGCATCGGATGATCTCTGAGTACATGCCACCAGGAAGACTAAGCTCACTAGGAGCATAGTAAGTGGCATGAGCACAAAGATGCATCGAGAGCTCCTCATTTGGAGACACCCATGGGCAGTCATTCAAAGGAACAACCACATCTGGGGGATCAACACCAGGATATCTCTTTGCACGAAGGAAGCGGCGGATCATAGCATGAAGATCGGGAATTGCTAGCTCGTCAGCCAAAGCAGAGATCCTGATGTGAGATTCTAAACAACATTATGGGTTATGTCAACTGTGTAAGAACTGCTGCTTACTGGGTTTAGTACCAAAGGTAACTTGAGCTTCAGCCACAAGAGGAGGTTGTCTTGCTGGACCATATTGAGCTTGATGGGGAGGCAGTCTTCCAGTCTATGTGCATATCAGCACAGCTAATGAGAATACTAGCAATAAAGGGCTCACCTTTCTCAGAGCCCATTCCACAATATCACCCTGCAGATGCCCAGACTGGCTGAGAGACACTCGTAGAGCATTGATCTTCCCAACACGGACAATGCGTCTGAGCATCTGAGGGAGTGCATCACCTCGATTCGAAGCTCGCCAAGGCTGTTTGACTGCCACAATGTGCTTAGTCTCCGTAATAGAAGTACTAACCCCATTGAGGGAGCCAAACTGCTCTATAGCGTCAGGCATGTGATCAAGACCGTGCTGTCTCGGCAGCGAGATATCATCTCTCACACCAGTGTCAATAAACACCTGGCGAAGATTCCTGAACTCTTCAAGAAGCTCCTCCATGTGGTCCACCGTGTGAGTGGTGTGCACAGACTGCCGAGCAAGATAGGCAAAATCTAGAAAGACCCGGATGCACTCCACGATACGGTCTGGAACAAGTCCGACAAGCGCAGGTAGTAGCACCTAAAGACAATGTAAATAGGGTGCCAGTATAAGAAATGTGAGATATCACACCTTCATGAGAGCCTTGGAGTCATTCCCTGTCCACTGGCTGAAGTGACGTCCATCGGGGAAGCGATGCAGACCAGTGAAGCTTGGAACAGCGGCCAGTCTATGCAGGCATAAGCACTATGCCCATAAGGTACTCAGAGACTGCACAAACCGTCTATCCAGATCATCCAGTGTTTGCTGTGCACGGGCCTCAGAGGGTGCAGTGAGCACAATGTACTCCTCAATCCAGGCCACGAGATGATCCTTGAAGGTGCCCTTCACCAGCTGATGAAGCAAGTCGGGAGTCAACAGCTGATAGACGTCGGCCCGTGGAAAGGCATATGTAAATGGCTACACACAAATGAGCAAGTGAACAAAGGCGACTGAGAAGAGCTCACAGTGACATCCGACAACAGCCCAAAAAGATCCCATAACGTTCCAGGATCAAAAGCTCTCTGTAAGTGCTCAGCCGATACTCGAAATCGGGGAACACCAGGGCGATCAAGCGAGTCAGGAAAGGCGAGACACCTAATGAACTGTGAGCATAACTCTAAAACGTACAAAAGTACTCCTTACTTTGGACACCACCCTTGCACAATTCTGGCGACATACACCTGCTCAGGGTAGTCCACCAGAAAAGGCCCAAGCTCAAAAAGAGCACCCCGCCAATGGCCATCGGGGCAGCGGAGAGGCAGCGGGACTTCCATATGAGGGCGCAGAGGGGCTAAGATCCGCTCGATGGCCATGTGATACACTTGCTTCCGAAAGAGCCGGAACTCCTTGTCGTTGGCATCCTCGCGAGTGCCTGCAGATAGTTGTAAGCACAGTCCCACATGGTTTCAAATGGGGAAGAAACCTTTGATGATGGGAAGAAACGCGAGGGTTGTGACAGCATCAGTATGCGAGCAGCGCATATCGTTGTGGATGTTGCCGGCGCTTCCATACAGCGGGTGGTACGCACGATTACCGGTGCCGACTGAGACCGTAGTCTTATCAGCACCAAGGAGAATGGGGGTAAGCATGGATCCGTGTGTGCGAGGATCAACAGCAGCCTGATCCTGAAGCATATCGTCAGTGCAACAGAAACCAAACGTATAGAACAGAGATACCCACAGCTTGATCCCATGCCCATTGGCCAGTCATGAGATTGGAGAACTCGCGAGACCCGTCAGCATTGAATACGGCCACAGGCGTATAGTCCCAGTGACCATCAAGCTCCGTATTGCTGGCCATCGCGCGCATCGCACTGATGATGTCGACATGGTGCACCGCATACTGCTCGCGCTTCCACTGTGGCGAGTTCTCGTCGACATGGCCAACCCAGCGTACCGAGAAAGACTGAAAACTGGGTGGGCCTTCATTGATCTCGTTGATGGTGTCCACGACTTCAGTGTATGACGAGAACATGCTGTCCTCTTCGTTGTGACCATGAAGGATGTCGTGTGCGAGCATGGCCCGGAGAATGGCATTGATGTCGGCAGCGGACCCTTGCATCTTGTTATAAACGGTGTTGACAAAGTCGAAAGACGCGCGGTCGGCGAAAGGCGCCGTGTTGAGCGGAACAGGACGTGGGGGTGGTGGGGCATTTTCGGGGAGCGGATCTCCTTGCTGTGTACATGGACGCGCTGCAGAAGGTTCAGGAAAGGCAAAAAAGGGGACACAACGGACACACCTGTAAGATCAGGATGCTCATATATGGTTCTCTGTGGCGGTGGTGGCTTAGGATGACGGTGGAAGTGTCGGCAGTGTTGCCAGTAGGCACGCTCGTGCGCGGGCAGTCTGGGCATTCTCTAATCATGTTGCGGAAGGGTCGTGGGGGCACGGCGGTCGGGGGTGTGGTTTTGGCTGCTTCGGGAGACGAATGCTTGCAGTAGTTGTAGAGAACTGGGTGATGCCCTTTGCGAGGGCGGCAGCTGGTCGGATAACACGTGTGTCCGGCCGGGAGGTGACGTCAGCGTCGACTTCACTGGTGGCAATGTCGACTTTGCAGGTCGCGATGTTGGCGTCGGAGGCGGCGGCAGCAGCGACGGTAGAGGAGAATGTTCGGGGTCAGCCGATGGAACGAGAACTTGCGGCGAGTCAATGTAGTGGGCTGCCGTTGCAAAACGGTTAGTATGTGCGAGAGTTGCAAACGGAACGAGAGGGAAAGGGGAAAGTCAACATGCTCGCCGTACGACTCCGGCTGCCCTTGCAAAGCTCGAACTGCCCTTCGCTCGGCAGGCTCTTTCAGCCAACAGATAAGCCGCCGCGATACCCCGTGCAGAGAGCGCAACTCGTGAGCATAGCGCGGCGTAACGGATGAGCGAAGCACGAGGCGCTATCACATGGGAGACGCGGACGAGCATGGATGCGGGCATAGGGTCGGAACGGGCACGGATGGTGGGGCGCACGGACGGTGGTTAACTCCCCTGCAAGATAGCAGCACCTCCGTCCTAGCTCCGTTGATGTGTGGCCGGCGTGAGTACCCTCTTAACACAGGTAAGAACAGGTAAGATGCTATAGATGACAACAGCACGTCAATACAGAGCCAATCACAGAGTGAGACTCACTGGCAGGTGCACCTATAGGGGTCTCAGCGAAAGCTTGGGGCCAGAACTTGCAGCGTGCGAAGCCAGTCGATAGTCAACGCCTATCGTTGCAACACGGTTAGTACATCGGAGAGCGAAACGAGGGAGCAAAGGCGAGAACTCGACGAGGTTGACAAGGTCGAACAAGAGCGCGAGCACGAGCGCAAAGTCTGTCGAAGACCTTGCCGTGCCGAGCTCGGCGTGTCGCCAGGGCTGCACTCGTGGATAAAGAACAGCCCGTTGCTCGGCAGGCTACCTCACCGAACAGAGAAGCCACCGCGATCCCGCGGGGAGCACCTGTGGTTACCCCAATTGTAATACAATTGCCCAGGAGCCTGCAGAACGGGTTTTGTTAACCCCCACCAGGTGGTCATTGTACTATATCCCCACCAGGGCATTGTAATAAGCCATAAGTCTAATGACAGAACTTCTGCAGCCTTGTAATAAGCCTCGCCACTAATAACAGAAGGCCCCCAGGGCTGTAATAAGTTGATATTCTAATGACAGCACCCTCCCAGGACTGTAATAATCCTTGTTTCTAATGACAGAAGGTCTCCAGAGCTGTAATAAGTCGGAATCTTAATAACAAAGTGTCCCCAGGGCTGTAATAAGCCTCGTCTTTAATGACAACTGAGTTATTACAACCCTGGGGATGTTCTGTCATTACAAACGGGACCTATTACAAGCCTGGGGGGCTGTTGTCATTAGGGTATCAACTTATCACAGCCCTGGGAAGGTTCTGTGATTAGAAACAGGGCCTATTACAAGCCTGGGAACACTTTTTCATTAGAATATCGACTTATTACAACCCTGGGGGCCTTCTGTCATTAGAAACAGGACTTATCACAACCCTGGGGAGGTGCTGTCATTATAAACGGGGCTAATTACAACCCTGGGGATGCTCTGTCATTAGAATACCAACTTATTACGGCCCTAGGAGGCTTCTTTCATTAAAGACGAGGCTTATTACAGCCCTGGGGACACTTTGTTATTAAGATTCCGACTTATTACAGCTCTGGAGACCTTCTGTCATTAGAAACAAGGATTATTACAGTCCTGGGAGGGTGCTGTCATTAGAATATCAACTTATTACAGCCCTGGGGGCCTTCTGTTATTAGTGGCGAGGCTTATTACAAGGCTGCAGAAGTTCTGTCATTAGACTTATGGCTTATTACAATGCCCTGGTGGGGATATAGTACAATGACCACCTGGTGGGGGTTAACAAAACCCGTTCTGCAGGCTCCTGGGCAATTGTATTACAATTGGGGTAACCACAGGTGCGGGGAGAGAGCGCAGCGAGTGAGCGAGGAGCGTGTCGCCATGAAACGGGATATGCGGACGAGCATCGGAACGGGGACACGCGTTTCGCGAGGTCCTCGAGCCCGGGCTGGCTCAGGAAGCCATTGAGCCGCACGGGCTCGTCGACAGCCCGAGCGTGGACGCGCAGACGTCCGCCTCCGTCTCCGAGCGCACGACGACGGGCCTCGAGCGCAGGGACGACGGGCATGGGGACAGCGACAACGGGCATGGGGACGGACGGAGAATAGGGAGCTCATGAAAAGCACGAAAAAACACTCACCTGGAAAACGGCAGACCCTCCGCGGCTTCCGTGAGTCCACGAATGCGGGGGTGAACTCCTGCAACCCGTGTTCTTGCCGCTGAGAGTTGACGAATGTGGCAGGTGAGTACTGGGCAGCTCAAGTGGGGCTTTCCAGGACCTGGAACGCTTCCAGGAGGGAAGCGGATAAGCCTGGATCGTAGCAAAGAAGAACGTGCGCAGATGAGGAGAGTGCTTATCATGGTCGAAGGGATAGCACTCACCAAAAAACCCTTATCGGGACGGCGGGGGTTGGACACGCGAGGGGTAACGCGGCCTTCTGGTCTTTGAAGTTAGTGAGGTTGTGTGAAAAAGGGTGTACAAGTGAGGATGGAAGACGGCGAGGCGAGAATAGAGAACGGCGGGGCAGACGAGGACAGGCTAGCAAGCCGCAGCGTTCAGTGGAAGGCCTTCCATAAGAATTTAGCGACGCTGGGTGTCGCTAAACCTTAGCTTTCCTGGGCGCTCCTGTCAAAAAATGTCGATTTTTGAACTCCGACGGTCGAGAGGGTCACCGTAGATACCCTGCGCATCAAGAATCTACAGAGGGGGTATACCCCCCTCCGTAGATGCGCTGGCTGCACAATCCCGCCCAAACAGGCAAACGTTTTGAGCTCCGCTGCCTCGTGCGCGCCTCTTACGTTGCTTTCGCGCCTCTCCCTCCTCCGCTACTTACCTCAACACACACTGCCTGCCTCTCCCTGGTATGTTGCCTTTCTCTTGATGCCCAACTACTAGTGCTGATGACTGTGACCTCATACAGCATGACCATGTAGATGCTGAACACCGCCTTGAGATCTACCACTCGAGACAAGCCATCCATGCCGCATACTATCCTAACTCCCACGCCTCCCGCGTTGGACTCGAACTCGCGCCCGCCGCGAATCCCGCCGCAGGTGCTCACACGCTCCCGCCTGAACTTGTCTAGCTGTGGGCTCGACTGAGACGGCAGCGCAGATGCGCACGGATCCCCGAGTCCAACGCGCAGGAAGGCGCCGCTCCACAAGTTCGGCAACGAGGGCGACAGCCTCAAAGACGGCGTGGCCGCGGTCGACGAAGAACTCGGAACAGCATGCCCGTGCCAATACGGCGCGCGCCCGACGTCCCCGGCGTCCCCTCGGTCGCTCACCGACTCGGTGTACACGGGCTGCGACGACGCGGTGTCGACCCTCCCGCTGTCATACCTCTTCTGGCTCGCCGTGTCAGAACTACAGCAGTTCCCGCCCCCGTTCCAGGCGCCAATGATTGAAGACCTCACGTGGCTCTCGCTCTCCCTTCCGGTGATCCCCATGCCCGCCGTACCGCCATCGACGTTCCAGAGGCTGAGCCAAGGGTCGGGCGTGCCCAGCGCACTGCTCGTCGTGGACCCTGATCGGCACTCGATGATGACGGTGACGACCACGACCACGACGATCCTGGGTGAGGAGTGGGCGTCGCCTCCTCACCCGCATCCGTGCCGCCCACGTCGTCCGCGACCACATGGTTTGCATCACGTGTGTCACCACGTCTCCCTCTTGCATAGCCCTGTCTGTATCACTCGCATCTCCCGTGTCACCCCCATCGCCCGTGTCGGCGGATGCTTGCCGTAGGAGCTCATAAGGTAGACCCAGCACAGAGTCGACGACGTGTGATTCCTGTGATGGATCACGTGCTCGTGACGAATTAGTCTACTTATCGGCGCACATATGCTTGGCGCTTGCGGGACTCGACTGAGAGGACGTCGCTGACCGCCTTTCCAGATGAAATCCAGGCCCTAAACAGTGTACCAGAGCATATGTGTGTACAGGTAGTGATGTTGCGCTCACTCAATTGGTGCGGACCAAGTAGTTTGGTCAGCGCATAAGTAGCGCGCTCACGCACCACCGTGCCCCCTACGGCACGACGTCTGCTTGCACACACCGCGAGCATCACGATGCCGCGCACGCTGCGACGTACCCTTATTGTTGCGATGGTCTCGCGGTCGCGGGGCATTGTCGACTAAGTACACCGCTCGGGCGCTTGTAAGACTGCAGAGAAATAGTGCAGTACCATAGTAATGAAGCTATGGAGTTGAATCCCCGTGTGAACAGGACACGGCATCACGCGCTGTAGTAGAAATGATGGTGCGCGCGGTGGAGGTCAATGTGCGTAGACATTGTGACACCGCCCGCGGTACGTCGCAGCACACGGGACATCGTGATGCTTGCAGTGTGCGCAAGCAAAAACCGCGCCGTATGGGTAGAGTATAGGGCAGAATTGTTTTCGGCCAATTCTGCCGGGCAGAAGTGGCACAACGGCAGTTGCCGGAATCGGCGAATCGCGGCAGAATGCAGACGCCCATCTGGTGTGAGGGACGCGTCGCCGCTGCTCAACGCTCCCTCTACCTCGTATCCTCGACGACACCGCATGCCGGAGACCCCCTTTCGATTAACACCAATCAACTAGTACTCATCCCTGCATTCATACTGCTCGATTTCTGGACACTAGATCTGCGATGTCCCATTCTGCATCGTCCCCAGCATCCTCGATCACCTTCAAGTCGTCCTGCAAAACCTCCGGGGCAACGCCCTTGTTCACGCGATCGAGCTCCTCGAAGCTATAGGAGCGGCCTTCAAGGACACCCGAGCCAGCATCGCTCGGAGGCTTGTCCCGGTCTGCGTTCGGGTCGTTGGCCTCGCGTTGAAGCTCACCTTCGAATTCCTTGAATGCGCGATCTAGCTCGTCCACCATGATGTCCTCTGGGGCTTCAAACGGGTCGGTGATTCCGCCTTCCGTCGCCAATGGCGGTTTCCATGTGAACGTCCTCTCGAGGTCCTGTGCGAGCACGACATTCGACCCACCCTCCTCTCGTGTCCGCATGTGGGCGTGCTTGCGATGCACTGGCCGGCCAATGGACACCATGTGCGAGTGTAGGTGTGAGTGCAGGTTCGTCCGGATCTTCCCAAGCTTCTCGAATGTGTCGAGGTTGAGGCGGCAACGCCGGGGAGACTGAGTGCAACCGAGACCTGAGAAGACTCGTTCAATCTCAGCAGCGTGCAGGACAATGTGATGGATGGCGAGTGCGAAGGCCTTGAGAGGATGCTGCTGCCCGTCAATGCGTGAGTTGTTCCACCACTTCAGCGCGTCTGGATCCCCGCCTTCAAATGGCTGTTCCGAGCGGTGGTACTTGATGAGGTCGGCTTGGAGCCCCTTCGCCCTTTCTATCGACCAGCCCCACTTCTTAGCGATGATACGCACGCACCGCCGCTGTACGGTGCACCGCGACTACACTAGCGCCCGCGCGTCGCCGTCCACCTCGACCTCGCTCGTCCTCACGTACCGCGCGACGCCTACGGACACACCACGCCGCAGTTCACGCACGACCGAGGCCGGCACGGCACGCACCCAATCCACCTCCTCTACAGTACACCGACCTCGTCCATTTCCTCATCTTCATTCCCCTCCTCTTCTTGCACGATTAGTATGTCCTCCTGTTCTACATCTCGTACATTTCGTATTCTCGTATCCACTTCCCCTTCATTCTCGGTCTCGATTTCGTACATTTTCGGGTCTTGGACTGTACATTGATCTGTCTACATACTCGCCCCGTGCGTCGCATGTACTTAGGCTCACGTTTTTGCTTATTGATGCTTAGTTCACTCTCCCGCTCTTTCTGCGCGTGCTGTGTGCTCACCTCGTCTCGCCTTCGCCTTCACCTTCGCCTTCGACTTCGACTTCGCCCACGCCCACGCCCACGCTCTCGCCCACACTCTTGCCCACGACTTCGACTCCCTTCGCCTTCGCCAGCGCCGCGCGTGCGAGCGATCTCGTCTATTCACTCCGCGTCTATTCTCACATCGTCCTCCTCGCGCTCGCGCGATCCCCCGATCCGTCCTCCCTTCGCGTTCGCTCCTCACGCAGCGCGTCGTAGCTGTTCCCTTCCTTTCCTCCTCGACTTCCCGCGTCTCACGCTTGCACGAGCTCGCTCACTCGCCCTCATCACTGTTGACTCTTCGCGGAGTTGACTGCACATCAGCGATGGTCAAAGCTGTGACCTCCATCTGGTGGTAAGGTAGACGCGGCCAGGAACGGACTACCATGACATAAGCATTTTAGGGTTAGGGGTGTGGCGTGGGAATGTTCGAAATCTCGCCGCCGGAAAATCGATTCTTGAGAACGACTCCCCAGCAGCCTCAAAGTCACCACACGCACCAATTATATGTCAGGAGTGAGTTTCGCCTGTCTCAGCAGCTCTGGAGGGAGGGGTACGGTGGCCGTGATGAGCTCGGTGAGTCCGAGCGCTCGTCCTGAGTAGTGGCGGGGGCGGCGACAGCGCGCGTGGTCGTGCACGCGCACACTGTGGGGCGGCTGTGGGCAGTCGATCTTCAAGTGCAGGGAGGTACTTATGGCATGCCCGCGGTGTCGGCGAGCTTGAGGAGCTCCTTTTCGCGCTCAATCTTGTCGCCAGCAGCTGGACAGTCCTCCACTGCCCCAGCACTCGCGCACACCTTGAGCTGACAGAGCCCCGCACAACTGTTTTGAGGCGCACGTACTCGCGCTCGCAGCCGGTGGTGCACTCTCCACAACGCTGCTCGATTGCGATCCAGGGCTTCTCGCTCAAGGTCCTCGCGGACGTGCGCGACGTGCGCCTCGGCGGGCGCGGCCCACTTGACATGCGGGTCACGGCCCCTATAGCTCGTCAAGTATTAGGTTTCGGGACGGTACAAGTCGGGCCGGTATATCACATGCACGGCGTCTACCATAGACGCCTGTTCGAAATGTTTCTCGTCGCCGACCTCAATACATGCTCAAACACTTTGAAAAGGTGTTCTGCGACATTTTAGAACATCTTAAATTGTTGGGTAATAACTCGGCCAAAACTTATGATATCACAAAAATTCTTTCTGTCATCGAGAGCTAACAATGCCTACTACCATTGTCAGAGACCAGAATATGTAAATGAGGGTGAGGGGCGGAGGAGATGAGGCCAGACGAACGGGGAGCGCCTGCTTATGTCATGGTGGTCCGTTCCTGGCCGCGTCTACCTTATGTTCGACCGTTAGCCGCTTGGCTGACAGCAAGACGGCGGCACAGCGGGTGAAGGTAGAGAGCGAGTCCATGGTGCTCGGTGTCCATCTCGTGGAATCGATGATTGAACACAATCTTGGTGTGGTCCCAGAAGCCAGGATCGTCATTGTCGCCGAGGTCAAGCCGCATCATCGCTTGCGCACAGTGGGTTAGTTCAAGCATGCAGTCTGCAAGCCCGGCGTTCCGGGACTCGACGTTCCCGATGGCATCAACGAGAGGCTTGGTGGTGCGAACAAGCTGAGCAATGCGAGGCCAGAAGTTGGTGTAGTCGAGGACAATAGCACGGATTGTCGGGGGGATAGGGGACAGATTGTTGACCGCGCGCTGTGCGTCTTCACGCACGCATAGATTCATAAGTGCCTGGCTGTTTATAACTGTAAGCATCCCGTATGACAACTTATAATAGTAGATAGACCCTCACCGATAATTCAGAACACTCATGCAATGCACGATGAGCGAGTACCACCGTGTGTCACAGTGACGCTGGAGCTTCCTTGTCACTCCTTGCTTGGTGGCTTCTTCAGCGAGTTGTCCGCCCCAGTAGTGCGAAGCATTGAAGAATGTGACGATTTGCGTAGCCTTTTTGACGGCCTCTTTCATGACTGTGAACGTTGAAATCTCGCCCACAATGGTGTTCATGCCATGCAGAAAGCACGCAAAGAGCTATGTAAATACATGAGCGTGGAATATAACATGCTAGAAATGCGAAAACACACCAGAAGCCAAGTAAACTTCTTATTAAACTCACGACGGAAGGCGTGCATCGTCGTTGGGTTGTCAGTTGTGACAGCTATGAAGTTCTTCATGTTGCCAACTCCCATGTTGTTTGCGGCACCTTGGACAGTCGCCAGCAAAGTCGGAACATCCCCTCGTTTGCCTGTGAGGTTGTCGAGACTGAGGATAATGGGGTGCTTGCCAACTTCGGCCGCAACAGTGCCGTATAATGCCCTCTTGACAGCATCCTCCCAGCCGTCGAACAGCAGAGTCCAGAACGTACCCTCCTTCAACCGGACTCTATCCTCAACATCAACTCGGGCGAACTCTTTATCAAGGAGCTCGTGGGATAGCACATAGGGCGACGCTAGGTTGTATGATGGCCGTATCTCTTTGACCCAGTCCTTGAAGTACCAGCTCGACGAGACATGAAACGGGAGATTGGAATAGACAACGGCGCTGTTAAGCGATGTGAATGTGAGAAATGATGGGGGAATGCCGTAAGAAGAGAGCGCACCGGAAGAACTTCACGTTTGCACGTCCCTCCTGCTCCGGTGTCATGGAATGGTCAAAGAACCGCTCGAGTGAATTGGTCTCGGTTCGCCGCCGCTTAGACACGGGTGCTGACAGCGTGGGTGAATCCGACTCGTCATTCGCTGCGGGGTGCTGAACAGGGGCAGTGGTGTCTTCAGAGGGATCACCGGGGGCAGCAACAGTATCGGGGAGAGCAACATCGGCGGCATCAATCCCTTTGGCACGTAATGCAAGGATTGCGAGCGGGCGGACATCAGCTGGGGTGTTGGGACACTTCTTGAACTCGGCAAGGTGCTTAAGAAGGTTGTTGTCGCGATTTTGAATCTTCTTTCCGCAGTGTTTACATTCGTAATAGTTCCTGTTGGACTTGTTTGGGACAGCTTCGCGCTTCTCAAAGTTATCCTGACAGATAGAGGCGAGTTGGCGACCAGGTGCTGGCATGAGAGGCAAGGGTGTGTCGAGACTGAAGCAGTAGAAGGAAGCATCATATCATTAACGGGCCCATGGGTCGCTATCGGCGTCGCGACGCGCAGTCACGGGAAAATAGACCCATTATATTCAATAAGCGCTCTATATACTGCCAAATTCTGCCCGGTGCCCTCGGCGGCAGGATGGCAACTGCCGGTGGCAGACGGCGAAATGGCAGAACGGCAGAGTTCTGCCGCGAACACTAGGGACAGGGCCCTCGCCGTTGCTGCCGTCGACCCGCCGTTCACCACATTCCAATAGCCGCCCGTGCGCGCTCCTCCAGTCCGGCCTTCCCGCCACCCACCATCGGTCGTTGGTCGGCCGTGGCCCCCTTGGCTGCCACACTATGCCGCAGGGGGACTGTATTCAATTGTCTAGATGTAAGTATGTCCACGATTACACGGCTCGATTTCAGATTACACTACTCTATCACGGCGGGCACAACCGCCGCCTCACTCCTTCTTCGCCTGCTCCTCCGCCCTCCGCCTTTCTCGCCGCTCCCAGCCCTTGGTGATCATCGGCTTCGGCTCCAGGTTCGCGAACAGCCGCTTGCACACCGCATGCTCGATCACGAAGCAGCCCACAAAGTCGACCGTCATCGACGCCGTCAGCCGCACCTTGAACTGCGGACCCACTGCCAGTCAGCCTCCGGACGACACTACCACAACGCGAGGGACACGCACCGCACCCTCCATCTCCACGATCTGCAGCCAGCGGTTCATCTCCGGCATCAGGTCCGTCGCCCCCGAGAATGCGACTGCGGACGCGCGGACGAGGCCCCAGTAGAGCGCGGGGTTCTCCCGGATGCCCCCCCGGAAGGGCCGGCCCTGGAAGTTGATCGCGAACGTGGACACTTGCTGGGAGAGCCCAAGGAGGTAGATGGCCGTGTTCAGCAGGTTCGGCTCGAACTTGGCCTCGAGGTCGATCTCGCCGCGCCTGTGGACAAGGTTAGTGCGTGTGGACCGCAAGTTGTGGTGAGAGCGCTTACGTCTTGTACTGGTACGAGAGCTGTGTGATGTAGACGAGCGTCGCGATGTGGAGGGCGAACTGGAACAGGACGGACAGCAGAACGTAAAAGTTGAAGATGTTGCCCAGAGGACGTTCCCGAGACAGCTTCTCGACGGGCTAAATGCGACATCGGGACTTCAGAACGGTGTTCCACGACTGGACACGTGTATGCGCACCTTCGCACGAGAAATACACAGGAAGCAGACCAACATGAGCATACCCGTGATGGTGACCTGGTAGTCGCCGAACTTGATCCCGTCCAGGTACTGCACACTCAGGCTGTACGCAGTGATGAGGCAGTTCAACGCCAGAATCTTGTACATCTGGATCGTGGCCACGAGCGTGCAGCGCCCTTGGCGGATGATGTGCGTGACTGCAGAGCCTGGTCAGCAACGTCCGTTTCCTACGGCGACACCTGCCCACACTCACTCGCTTTGACGTTCGACAGCTTAGAGGTGAACGGCGCGGCGCACGACGCGTCCCCGAGCTTGATCTTCGGCACCTCGTCCTCCGCGTCCATATCGGCGAGCTTGTCCGTGATCGACGCGAGGTCGAACTTCTCCATAGGGTTCTTCTTCCGCGCCGTCTGCTGGTCCGCGACCGCGCGCTGCTGCGCGGCGACGACGTCCGGGTACAGGTGCGCGATCAGCGGCGGCACCGGCGGCGGCGGCTGGTTGAAGCGCTCCGAGATCTTGAGCTGCTGCTCGTACACCGTCTTCAGCCGCTCGTTGCGCTGGTGCTCCGCGATCTTCTTTAGGTCCTCCTCGGTGCCGTCGAGGAGCGCGACGCCGATGTGGGCCTGCTTGAGCGCGCCGACGTCGTTGGTGCCGTCACCGGCCATGAGGGTGACATAGCCGAGGGACTTGAGGGAGGTGAGGATGAACTCCTTCTGCGCGGGCGATACACGAGCGTACACCCACGTGTTCTGCACGAGGTCGTTCCAGGACGGGTGCGCTTCATATAGCTTCATCGCGACGCCGGTGATGCAGATGTCGTACTTGTCGAACAGCAAGGTGTCGATCGGAGCGGTGGGGTCCACGGTGATGTTGACGGTATCGTCAACGGAGCGCCAGACGAGGGTGGAAGAACCTTCGGGGACATCGAGGATGAGTGCCTCACGGTCGACAATTTCAACGTCACGGGCGACGTGAACGGCAGTGAGCGGGTTGTCTCCGGTGATCATGACGCACTGGATACAGTGTTAAAAGGGGTCTAGAAAACAATGAACTCGACGTACGCGGTGTGACGAATCGCCAAGCATCTTCAGAGTCTCGACAGCATCTTCCTTGAGGGGGCAGTGGAAGACCAAGAAACCCGCGAACGTCAGACCCAACTCGACCTGGTCACGATGGAGCTTCTTGATCTTGTCAAGGGGCATAGGCTCCATCTCCCTGAATCCGAGCGCCAAGACATGGCTTCCGCGACGAGTAAACCACTTGAAGGTGTCATCGTAGTTGGCGGGAACGGTGGACAACATGCGGCGGATGGTCTCCGGAGCACCCTTCGTAGCAACCATGCAGCGGCCGTTGGGCAGGGTCAAGACGGTGCTCATCCGCTTGAGGGCAGAGGAGAACTGGAACCTGCGGCGGACGATGAGGGAGGTCTTGTGCGGCGCAGAGGACTCGATGGGCCTGACGCTGTCGCCCTTGATAACGTGCCAGTTGAGGGCCTCGAGCGTGGTTCGCTCCATGGGGTCACCGACGATGGTACCGTCGTCGAGCCGCACAAGGGCGTGCGCAGCCGCAAGGGCCAAGGTGGTTTCGCGGCCGGTAGCCTTGACATCAACGAGCTTCAGGGAGTCGGTGGGGCTGTATGATGCTCTTAGCATAGTGCGGTGCGGCATCCAGAGCTGAGAACTCACTCGACACCGGCAACGCCCTCCACAACGAGGTTCTCCGCAGTGATGGTACCAGTCTTGTCGAAGCAGCAGACATCGACGCGGCCTGCAGACGGGATCCGGAAGGGCTCCGTGCAGAATATGGCTACAACCACGTTAGCACCATCCACAACAACAGCAAATCTAAAGGCACACACCATACTTCGACAGCGTGACGAGGGACGCGTTGACGGCGAGGGACAGCTCCATCGGCAGCTCGGGCGGGACGACGCTCGTGATGATGAGGATGCAGTCGAGGAGCAGCTTCGACTTCTTGAGGTCGCGCTCGATGCCCTTGACCCACACGTACCAGCTCGCGGCGATGGCGAAGATGAGGAGGAAGCCGATGAACAGGAAGCTCTCGGCGTTGTTCGCTGACACGCGCTCGGTCGAGAAGATCATCGTGCGCACGAGCTGGCCCTGCGCGGTCCCGAACCCGGTGCAGAGGACGACGCCGAGGCAGCCGCCCTCGGGCGTGTCGCTGTCGTGCGTGGCCTGGAGGAGCTTCGTCCCGGAGAAGAGGATGGCGTTCTTGTGCGCGACGTCGGCGTCGAGGGCTTCGGCCGGCTTGAGGAGGGAGATGGACTCCTTGAGGAGCGGGGTGGACTCGCCGGAGAGCATGGCCTCGTTGACGATGCAGGTGCTGCGGATGAGGAGGATGTCGGCGGGGATGCTCGTCTCGGTCTGTTGCCGGGCGACAGAAATGACGTCGCCGGGGAGGAGCTCATCGCTCTGAATCTTGAGCCAGACATTGTCGCGGCAGACGAAGACAGGGTAGGGGGCAACGGCCATGGTGCGGAACTCAGTGAGGGTGCGGAGGCGTTGGTAGACCACGGTACACTCCACGACTAGACGCAGGAACGGACGTGGGACGAAGGCGACGCGCATCAGCCTCCGCTGCTGTCCCATCTCAGCACCATCAAGCGTGAACAGACTCACCATTCGCGTTTTTGGTACCAGGCCGGCCAATGAGGAAGTTGTCGGGTTTGATGTCACGGTAGATGAGGTTCTTCTCGTGCACCGTTTGTATGCGTGCAAGCTGGGTGTGCGTGTGACACGGCGGGGCCGAGGGAGTGGGAGGACGGAGGCGGAGGCGACAGCGGCGGGCGGAAATACAATCCCGGCGTTACCGGCGGTTAGAGGGCGAGCCGAAAGCGCGAGAAGGAGGTGCGCACCATCTGCCTCGCCGCCATACAGACCGTCTTGATTGAGAACTTGCGCCCACACATGTCGAACAGATCCTCCAGGCTAGGCCCCAGAAGATCGATGATGAGGATGTTGTGAAGTCCCTCTTGCCCGAAGTGGTATATCTGGGGGATACCGGCTGCACGTCGATGATCCCAGGTCACGGAAACGAGTGTCTACGTCAGCTAGGGGGTTCAAAGAGGTGAACAGAAGGGATGCACTGACGGCAGTTGGAGAGAATGCAATATGAACGATGTTCATCGCGAAGTTGAGGTGCCTCGGCCTTCTGCGGCTCCTACGTCGTAGAAGAACATGCGTAGCAGGGCAACGCATGGTTTCAAAGACGTAAAAAAAGAGGCGGAGGATGTATGAGGAACGCGATGACGCAAAAGCTGCACCGTGGGGTGGGCGAATGGGAAGAGAGGACTCACGAATTTAATCACCATGGTCTGCGAGTTGAGAAGATTCGTGCCTGCGCAAAGTTGAAACGACCACTTTCAGCTCCGGTCGACTGGAACCCTCCGCGCTGTGGAGAGCGCGACACGCGGCGGGCAGGAGCCCTCGCCGATCTTCTTGCCCACGCGGTAGTGGGCACCTACGACGTTGTTGGAGGAAGAGGTGCTGTGGGAGGACATGGCCGGCGGCGCGCAGGGGGCAGGGGGCAGCGGCTAGTGGAGGGATGCGGGGCCAGAGAGGAGGGCAAGGGAAGAGGGCAGGGCCGGACTGGGAGCGCGGGGATGAGCGCATACTCCATTCGCCAGCAGCACCCTCGCGACCCTCTGCGAACTCCGCGTATGGCATCCCGACACCGCGACCGCGCGGCCTTCTTCGGACGGATACGTCCTCGCGAACGCCGTTTAGTAGTCAATTGCACCAAGTACGGCAAGTTCTGCGCCAGAAAGACCATCAGTCTCCACCCGAGGCACTCCCCAAACGAGGGCAGAGACATACCTGCAATCCCCGAACGTTGCGCGAGCGCGAGCGCGATGTGCCGACATGGCTGGTTGAGGTTGAGTGCGAGCACGCCCGCGCTGCCGAGGATGGGTATCAACGTAGGCACCGCTACCAGCCATTAGTTCTCCAGCTTCCGGAGCCGCGGTAGAGATGTCGTGGGGGTTGCTGAAGGCGCCTCCGAGGAGTAATTACGGTACTTTTCATGGTGGCCGGCTCTTGATGAATGCAGGATGTGCCGAGACAGGGACGCGTCTTAGAGACGCGCGTTGGTTGTAAACACGCGAGCGCAGCAGCGGTGTTCAGGGTGGTGTTCGCGTTCGCGAGGCGTTGGGGATTGTGATGAAAAGCGGAGGGTGCGCGAGGGTATGGAGTGCGCGGACTCGTCTTGTGCGAGCGGGGAGTGGTAGAAGCAGAGACAAGAAGGGAGAGGTAGGTGGGAAGACTCGCCGTCGCCGTAACTTCCCTCTCGTTGGCATCGAGAGCGGCCGATATCTGCCGGCTTGCACGAGCGGCGGCAGTTTGGGTGAGCCGTGTGGACGCGGGGATGTCGAATGCGTCAGCTGTAGGAGACGTGGACAGTGGGCACCGCGCGGGGGAGAGTGTGTGGAGGACGGGTGCATTCGTTGGCGAGGGCGGATGCGTTCGTTGGCGAGGACGGGCTTGCCGCAGAGGAGGTAGGCTTGCATGGGTGCGTGCAGGACGGATGAGGACAGGCCGTCTAGACTCTAAGGACCTGTTCGGTAACCCGAGAGCGGTCGTGTGCGACCGGTATCTGCCCGTGGGAACAGATACCGCTCTCAGTGATGGCGACCGCTGTCCAGCGCTTGCGGGCAGACGGAGTACCGCTGTGTCCGGCGCCGGCGTGCCGCGATCTGCTCGAAAAATGCTCAAAATATTGCTGCCTGTCTCCTCCCTCCTTGTTCTCCCCTGTCCCTTCACTTTTGACATGGTTAGAACCTACCCAGCCCTTGATAGGGCTGTGTCTCGCCTTTCTGGGCCCCTTCACCATGTCCAGGATCAACGACGTTGGCGTGCACTGGCTGTTACCATCATCATGACCATCCTCTCCTCTACACTTGCTGCCATCCACTCTGCCTGGAACCGAATTCATCCTGAACCATACCACACATCTATCCTGGGAGGTCAAGAGTGGGTTGAAGAGCTACTTGATGGCCACCATGATCGCATGCGAGACAACTTGGTCCTTCGACCAGCACTTTTCCTCTAGTGATCACCACAGGTGCGGGATACCCATGCAGGGTTACGGAGGACCCCCGAAAATGGTAGGGGAGGCCGGAATCGGAATCCGGACAAATCGGCCCCAGACGCTCGTCGAGGCCGGAAGGTCATCCAGACAAATCTGACCGGGTTGTTGGGGAGGCTGGAACCTTTGTCCGGACAAATGATGTTGGCAAGCAAACCACCAGACACGATCTAATTTAGAGAAGCCCCAAAACGATGCTTGCTTGAGGTGTTGTAATGAGTGTTTCTGCACTCAGAATCTATGTTATTGGCTTAGTGACATGGGGGCGTGGATAGCATGTGGCTAGTGATCACCACGGGTGTTGGCGACCCGTGCGGGTTGGCGGGTCGGGTGCCACGGGTAAGGGTCCGGGTCATGCTCGGCTGACCCGTGCACCCACAGGGTAAACCCTTCGCAACCCGTGACGACCCGTAGGCCCAGAACACATTATACATGTAATATATAGTCTTGAATTCAGTCAGAAGGTCGAGCACTAACGGTATACGCGGAGCAGGCATGTTCCTGTGTGAGTGAGCAGGGTTAGTTGACGGAAACGTTCATCGTGGGGCACTCACAGGGCGTGCGCGACATGGACTGACGCATGCTTGTGCGGTGCGAGCACCTCTGACGGCCGCATATCCCCAGTGGCAGCGTCACCCGCGCGCCGCCTGGGGCTGGCGCGGGCGATGAATCCTGTCCGTGCTGGCGTGAGCGTGGGTTTGGTGGTGCGATGACGTGTCGTAACCTGCGGGCAGGGTCAGCGGGGCTGCACACAACCTTGATTGGTTCCCATCTCCGAACGAGATTGTCGATCCCACAGGGGTAGGCTGGCAGCGAGTGCGCGTGGTCTTGCGCGTGAGTCGTGGACAGCGGCGAGTGCGAGTAGCCCTGCGGACGAGTGACGTCGTTCTGGGCGGGTCATCGCTGTATCGCCAGGTGCCTGCTGCTCGGCACACCGACGTTCTCGCGCCATGGACGGTGCTAGAAGAGGTCTACGCCTCGCTCTACGACGGGTACCGGCTCGAGCTGCCCGCACGCACACAGCAGCTTGTCCTGCGTGTGCCGGGCCCGCGCGACGCGGAGGGCGCGGTGCACGATGAGGGCGGCGCTCCGGGAGGCGTTTGGAAGGGGCACCGGGGGCAGTACGTGTTCGGCTCTCAGAACGGGAGGGGCCAGGTGGGGGACATGCAGTGGTGCTCGTGGAGGTTGAAGAAGAGGGCGCGGGCTGCGGCTGAGAACGGCAGTTCTCCAGCCACGCATCGAACATGTACGAGTGCACGGCGAGCGCGTGCCCGTCCACGTCCGGGTCCTACACCGTCCGGGCATGCGCGTGAGCGCCGCAAGAGGACACGGAAGGTGAAGTTGAAACTCACAAAGGGGTGACCATCCCAGAGCCTGGACAGACAGCCAGGCGTGAAATTGGAGCTGCCGAGGGGCACGCCGCGGGCCTGGGGTCGAAGCAAACCCTCCACCGCTCCCAGACGTCCTCCTGCGGCGCATTCAGGCTCGTCCGCCGGTCGCTCCACACCCACCAGTCCTCCGCCTGCCCCTGAACGCGATCCGGGAGTGCCGTGTGCCAGTCTCAGTCGCCATGCGCGGGCGGGCGGGTGGCGCACACAGTGCGGTACTTGTCAGAGTCGGCTGTCGGCCCGCGGAACAGAATCTCCTCGGTGCGGTCTACGGGCAAGTGGGAACTCAAAGCTATGTTTCTTGGCAAAGGCGATGAGAAGGAGCTTTGCGGCGAGGGTGAGGGGGGGGCTCGGCAATGCAGACGAGGTCGCCGAAGTGGGTGAACTCGTGGGTGATGTACACAGGCTCGCGGTAGAGGGGGTATAAGCCGTGCGCGGTCTCGGTAGCGGAAGCCGTACATGGCATACGGCCAGACGTGCTTCGCGCCAAGCCTAGCGCGGAGGGTGGGCAGGAGGGCGGCGAGTTTTTCTGCGCAGAGGCATGAAGATCGCGGGGGAAAGTGTGAAGGGGAGTGGGGACATACCCGGTCAGAGAGCGAACGAGTTCTTGTAGCTCCCGACGAGCCAGCCAGAGGTGGACTCGCGGGGTGCCCAGAGGCGGTCGAGGACGTCCATCGCGCGTTGTTGTGGAAAGGCGCTCCCTTTAGATCGCGCATTGAAAGAGTGCATGGAAGCGCACCTTTGTATTGCACTCCCACTGAGCCATACCGCCTCCACTACGTCTCCGCAAATGCGCCAAGGGGGGGACATCAGTAATTTCCCAAAATCCTGAGGACACCTGGGGGGCCTGACCAGGGTTCCCAGGAATCCAGGGATTTCGCTCCGGGCGTCCGGGTGTCCAGGCCGTTTCTGGGCATTCAGGGCGCCAGGCCGGCCAGTTCACTCAGGGTTCAACGTTCAGGACACTTTCCACACATAGCGGACGCATCCATATAGTACGAAACCAATATATTTGCTAGTCTGATCGGGACAGTAAATGCCATCAACAACCCTCTATGCGTACCATCGCCTCCAAGCCGTCCTCCCCGCGCGCTGCCTCCTGCAGAACACGATCGGCGACGCATGCACCACTGCCGGCTCGCCTAGCGCAGTGCGAAAATCCTCCACCTGCGCACGAACGCACATGGCATGAACACGCTGGCCATCGCACGATCTCCGCCCGGAGCTCCCTCAGCCCTTCGTTGATGAACTCGCTCATCGGCCTCCACCGCCGCTCGAACTCCTCGCGCGCGAACTCAGCGGCAACGGCCGGAGGCACGTCCCGCAGCCGCTTCGGCAGTGTCGAACCCGGTCGGCACACGGAGAGCGTGAGGACGCGGAGCGTCGGGACCGCGTGCACGAAACGGAAGGGGAGCGGACGGAGCGCCTCGACGCGGCGGACCTCCACGGCGCAGATGTCGTTGGCCGTGCCCATGTTCTCCACATGGTTGGTCTGGCGGCTGGGCGGGAAGTGCAGGGTCAGGTGGACGAGCGAGGTGGAGTGGAGCATAGCGACCTACGGGTCCTACGTCGGGGCGGGATATCAGCACACAACACTAGTGAGAAGGATGTAAGACGGACCGTGTACGCGTGCAAATCGCACTCTGGGCCCTTTACGATCGTGATTTCGAGTGAGCGGAGGTGCGGCGTCACACGTGGAATCACGCCGAGCACGAGGGCGAGTGACTGGCGAGGCGTGTGATGGTAAATACATTGCCGCTCTGTGAACCGTGGGGGGCCGCGCGTCACAGAGGGAGAGTTGTGTGCATGAGGAGAGCTAGTACATACCTCTCTCCTTGAGCGCACGGGCGCCGGGCTGCTGGGGCTGGGGCTGCAGGAGGACGGCGAACACTTTCCTCACCTGTGCGCAATCGCACCAAGCGATGCAAACACCCGATGTGCGGTGGCATGAGCCCACAACGCGTTCGCCGTGTCCGTCCCGATGAAGCGCGGCGTACCCGCCAGCTGCGGGTGCAGCACGTACACATGGAACCGCATCGCAGCGGCGTACGCGAACGGCTCCAGCAACTGCATCGGGGCTATGTGTGCACCAGGCGTTCGGGCGTTCAGGTAGAATGAGCTCGAGGGCGAGAATGACCTAGGGGAGCGTAGCGTGCCGGGCGTGTACTCGTGAGTCTGGCTGGAGGGCCTGGGGGCGCTTCGGGTCCGTGCGCGAGTGTGAACGAGGACCAGTCGGTCTTGGAGGTGATCCCACGTGGGTGGGAGAGTGGGAGAGCGAGAGAGTCATGTCTTGTAGCGAGCGTGGCTAGAGAACAATGTGGAATATGAGGAGGGGAGATGGGGGAAGGAAGGAGACACGCGTTGCCGTTTGGCGCCCGCGTCATCCGCCTCTGGAAGACCGGTGGGCGCTGACGCGGACGTCTCGCATCTCCTCCCCTCCTCCTCTCTCACCACCACTCCAGGTACCCCTCGTCTCCTCTCTCCCATCTCTCTTGAGGGAGATGGTCATGGCTATGGATCTACAACCGCCGGTCTCGTTTACCGGGCTCAGCAACCCAACAGATTTTGTTCAAGTGTATGTTCTCCTCCATAAATTCCTTCCGATCTTGCTCTTAACTGCTCCGATCAGCTTAGTTGTTTCTGTACCGGTTCCCTGTGCATCAAGACCGTTTTTTAGACATGGTGAGGATGTATATTTCACTCGAGGGTTTTATCCCCACCCACTCTGTGTGCACGACCCGAACATTCGCAGTAGTCAACCACCCTTTCTGGAAGCCGAGCCGAAGATCGTGGGCGAAGGGGTGAATATTATAGAAGAAGGTGCGCTGGCCATCCCGTGAATCGCGTCCCAGCGGATGACCTCGCTTCGATTACGACCCCAGTGCTCAGCCCGCACCTCTACCATATACAGCACTGTCTGCGGCCCATGGGGACTTCAAAAATTCCTGCCATGATAATGTGCGTTTCCTTACATCGCTCTCAAGCCCAAACACTGGAACCTGACCTTTTCCGCCTCTACAGTTGCAGAAAGTTCGCGAAATTTGTCTCTCGTGCTTGGGGGGTTACACAGCACGGGTCTGCACGTTCTCTCCCGCGATCACCGCCGCGCATGCTTGGTGGACACAGAGTACGGCCACAGGATGCTCTCGCCATCACGCGCGATGCTCGCCATCGCTCTGCAATGCTGCCGGATCGGGCACACACCATGCTGCTGCATCGTGCGCGGTGGGGTCGAATGTGAGCTCGCGCGATGGTACTGAGACGGAGGTGGTGTAATTCGTCGGTCTGAGCTCGCCCACTCCGCCCATGGTGACGGCTCTCAAGTTTCCCGCGTGTTCATCCCACCGCACCCAACGTGTTCATCCCGCCTCGCTCAACACGTCCACGTTCAATAGGTACTATCTGAACATGTAAATAGATCACAACCTACACGAACGACTGTATTAGGCTGATTAGCAGTCTGAGGCCTGATCCCTGCGCGCGCCGGGAGCCCTGAGGCCTGAATCCCTGAGCGCGCCCTGTACGTCCTGGTTCCCCGGGATCCCTGAAATCCCTGAGATCTAGGGATTCAGGGATTCAGGGATTTTGGAAGTTACTGATGGAGGGCATATGGAATTGTACTCTGCTCAGGTTTGGCTGATCTTTGGGGGTTACCAAGAAGCAGATAAGCAGAGGAACAGAGATAGGAAGGGGGAGGATAGGAGAAATCGCAAGTCGCAAGTCGCGCCTGGCAGGCCGTGCGTGCGAGCGCCGCGGCTGTCACACGTGACTGACCCGTGGTTTCAAGCGCCGTACCCGAGCGTACCCTGACCCGTGAGCCCACGGGTCCGGGTTTCGCGGGTCCGGGTACGGGTCGACTCAAAATTACCCGGGGGTGACCCGTGGTGATCACTACATGTGGCAGTCGGTGCTTTGCCCTCCCCGCCATTAGCGCCAGACGCGTTCAGCCTGGTCATTACCGCTCTCTCGCACGGTTTTTCGAGCCCAAAACATTTTATGGAGCATGCGACAATGGTTTAAAAATGATTGCACACACTGTCATCGGCCACTGGCCTCCCATAGACCCAGACAAGTCCGAGTGCCCAGCGCTTTGCCTGGGTCTGCTGAGCACTTATTAATATTGACTGGCAGTTTCGCCCTACTCTCGAGGCTTTGCAACTCTAGGGAAACATTTCTGAGCGCATAAGACTGCATAAGTTGACTGAAGATGCACATGCAGCTCACATGACACCATTTTCACACTTCTCTAGTACTGATAATGCAAGACCCCCTAAGCTCGGTGCTTTGGAACAGCTTGGCGATGCTTCTGCGGGCGCGAAAGACGGAAATCAAGCTAAGATAACTCGGAAGCGGAAGGGAGCGAAACCTCAGGCATGATCGGACTCTCTGCTGGTGTATTGGAGAGTCGAGACACATACCATGGCTTACACAGTCATCCCCTAGCCCTGTACACACGTTGATATCATGCGGAAACATTTCTCTGTATTCATAATTTATGTATACACGCACAGACTACGTAGTTCTTGCTATACAGCAGAGATTTTGAGCTCGAGCGAATTTGGGCGCTTATACTACAGTCCAGACAAATCGCGCACCCCTCCGGCCGGAGGCCGGAAACTTTCCGGACATAATGAAGCCTCTCTGCAGCCAGGAATCCGGACAAACCAGAGGCTACCCTGGAGCCCTCTGATTCCGGCCTCCCCTACCATTTTCGGGGGTCCTGGTTACGGGAACGGGTGTCAAGGGTTCGGGTGCGGGTGAGGTCCACCCGACCCGCCGGCCCGCCATGAGGATCCCACGGGAACCCGCGCCCGTAAAGGCTAATTTAGCGCCTACTGAACGTCCTCCGAAGCTCGCATCTCCTTGCGCGCTTCTTCACCTGTGGCTGATCTCTGCACATGGTGAGTGGACGCCACCAACTGTACAGTTGCTGACTAACGCCTCTGGCTCTATAAAAACCCTCAAGCCACTCGAGTCTCCACAGAATCATCAGTCCCACCACTCGTAGACTCTCGAACTCAGCATCATGTCGAACACCCTTCCCACCCTTGAGCCCACTGACAGCTCCAAAAAGCGCGCCACGTCCCCCGACAACGCTGATCGCCCGAAGCGATCGCACATCCTCACTGAGCCTAGAAGGCACAGGCAATGAAGGAGAGCACCACAAAGGTGCTCAACAAGCTGGGGATCACAAAGGTGAGTATATTTATTTTCGAGTCTGAGTGGATCTCAGCTTACATGAACCCGAGTCCACAAACACCACCCCTGAGAAGACCTTCGCGCAGGCTGTCACTGCGTCCGCAAAGGCCGTCGCCGCGTCCGCACAGGCTGCTCCCGCGTCCGCGCAGGGCATTGCCACATCCACGCAGGCCGCCACCGCGTCTGTGAAGGCCGCCGCTGGATCCGTGAAGGCCGCCACTGGGCACGCAAAGGTAGCCACCGGGTCTGCACAGGCTGGTGTCGGGCGCGCAAAGTTGAAGGCTGCCATCAAGTGTTCAAAGGTTCTTGCTTTCATGTGTGTGTGGGTTCATTGATAACAGTTGGCTGTTATAGAAGCCAAGCACTGGTGGGCGCAAGGTTATCTGCCGCACTGAAGAGGAAGAAGAGGCGGCTCACTCAGACATTGATAACGTTGTCTATGTGCCGTCCAACTCAGAGCCCTCGGACGACGAACCTTCTGACGACGATGGCGACGGCGGTGACAACGATGATGACGACAACGCTGATGAACAACTTGGTGAGTTCTACAGCATAGCATGGGATTGAAGATGAACTTACAGGAGTGAACACAGCCGCTATGATGCGCAAGTGGCACTCGTTTTATTACGGATTCTACGAGCCCATTCCCAAGATCGCATACGGCAAGGGTCGGCGTCGTTGCCACGTATTCACGTGCGCTTCCCCAAGCTGCAAGTGGCAGGGTCGTCGCTACCTCGACAAGAGCGACGCAACCTCAACTGGGATCCTTCAGAAGCAGGCCATCCGGTGCTGGGGCCAGGAGGCTGTCGACAGCGCACGCGAGGCCAACATGACTGCGGATGAGGTCCGGAAGATCATTGTCAGCAAGAGGTTGAGTAGCGACATCAAGACGTACTTCACCCGCAAGGGGAAAGGCAGCGTCGTCTTCTCGAACCGCTACCTCACGCAGGCAGAGACTCGGTGGGTGGCTGTTCGTGTTCGTCACCTTGAACCATGACTGACAATGTGACGCGCCAGTGCGGAGTTTGTCCGATGGGTCGCCGAGTCGTCGCGTCCGCTGTCGATCGTCAAGGACGATCACTTCAAAATCTTGATGAAGACAGGACAACCAAACTTCAAGATTCCCTCGCCGAGTACTGTGGCTCGTGATACACAGACTTTGTTCGCACGTATGCGCGAGCGTATTGGCAGCCTCTTGAGGGTACGTATTAGCGCATTTTTAGACCCACTGTACTTTAATTCTCACCTAGTACCCAATCCAGGACTACGACAGGCGTATCAACATCGCCACGGATTGCTGGACATCTCCCAACCATCGCGCGTTTGCTGCAATCACAGTTCACTTCCTACACAATGACGAGCCTATCAGCATGCTGCTCGACATTGTCGAGGTTCCAAAGGTATGTACGTCTTGCAAGGCATGGTTATCTGTGTGCTCACAGTTGGCATGTCTTGCCACTGCCTCGGCATTGACACTTGCAGTCCCACACCGGCTTCAACCTCGCACATGAGCTCGCAACAGTTCTGGCTGGCCTAGGGCTTGACGACAAGGTTCGGGTGTGCTTGTTATCTCGCCACAATAAGCTAACAAGTCCGTAAGTGGAACAAAGGAACAAAGAGAGAAGTGTAGAAGAACGAAATGGAAGAGATAAGGGAATACAAGGCAGTGAGTAGACATGTGGAACTATGGGAACTATCTCACAATGTCCATGTGTACGTAGAACTGTCTGTATGTACCTATGTTCGATATCCAATGTTCAACAGAGGTTAGTTTCAGCCTAGGATAGTAGAGAAACAAACAACGTTACCGTGATACTGTCTCATTACTGCATTGAAAGCGGTCTGCAACCTTCCGAATAGAGTTGTTGGTGACTGCTTGATAGAGGAATGTTGCAAGCATCTCTGTTGTGTCCACCCAACGCCGTGGTCGAAGCCCACCTTGCCGTATCAACTCTGATTCAAGTTGGAGGAAAATAGTGATCACCATGGGTGTTCCCGTGGGTGTCGGCAAGGTCACCCACACCCGAACCCGTGAAGACCTGTACCCACGGGGCACGGGTGTCTGAGGCGTCACGGGTGTTACATCAATGGCACGGGTATAGCACGGGTGAACACCCATCCTGGGTAACCCATGGGACACCAATGTCGGGCGGCCACACACGAACAATAGGACGGCCGCGTGCAAGCATACCACAGAAACACTGCGCACAAGCAATGGGACGGCCGCACGACAGCGACAGGACAGCCACGCGAGAGCGACACCGACGGGATGGCCGTGCGGGAGCAGCGCCGATAGGAGAGCTGGCTCGCGAGAGCAACACCGACAGGATGGCTAGTACACGAGGGCGACACCGACAGAACGGCCGCACAAGAGCGACACCAATGGGATGGTTGCGCATGAGCGACAGAACGGCCGCACATAAGTGACAGAACGGCCGCACAAGAGCAACGTGACACCGACGGGACGGCCGCGCAAGAGTGACACCGATGGGACGGCCACGCGAGAGCGTGGCATGGGCAGAAGGCACACATCAGGTGTGGGTGGTGTACTATGAGGAGTGCAGGGACGTGCAGCCTGCTTAACATAACAACAAAACATGTACTAGATTACATGCATGTCGTTTCCAGAACGTCTTCAGAGTGCACGAGGTCAAGGCGCGACCACGCACCCAAACACAGCAGCGCATGAGTAGTGCGAGCTGAGATCCTGTTGCGAATATAGGGGAGTAGCAAACAGCCACGACTGAAGACGCGCTCAACGTCTACCGAGGTTGCTGCCCGGTGTAACACATGTCAGAGTCTGCTTTGCACGCACGCGGCACAACAGAGGGGCATCACGTACCAGGGATGGTCAGATAGTCCTTGGCCATACGAGCCAATCGCGGATAAGTCTTCTCATGCTCGCGCCACCATGATAGAGCATCCGTCACGTGCACAAGAGGGGCAGCGAGATATAGATCAAGCTCGTCATCGTCGATGGGGATAGTGAAGCCGGTTGCCAAGAACGGCAGGTTGTCGAACATGTTCTTCGCCACCGTACTGTTGTCATCCTGTAGCAACAATGCGAGACGATAATGATGAGACGAGATAGCAAGCCAAGCTGAACTACTCACAACCTCCATGGCCCTCGCGTCCTCCCGTTCGCTTGAGTCGCCACCAATGGAGTGGTCGTGTTCGGTGTTGACGAAGCCGTGGTGCTTGTAAGTAGCATCGTACTGGTCACGAATGAGGGCCCTCGCGGTTTCGATCCAGTCTTCCTGCCAATGCTGGGCCTTGAAATACTCCATCTTGTAGCGAGGATGAAGGACTGTGATAGCCAAAACGTTACTGCACACTTTCCGAGACTGCAAGAGAGCGAGAATTACTCACTCATGGCGATGCAATAAGCCTCAGACGAGTCTGTGAGTGCGTAGTACTTGTTCAGTACCTGCTGGGCGAAGCGATGGGCGTGGCGTATCGCTGGGTCGTAGAGGTCTCTATTTGAATCACGGCTGCCGGACATCTTCTTCGTCGTGAGCTCTTGATCGAAGACGTCCATTGCAGGGATAACCGCCGCGAGGTTAGGAGTGCCACGGGAGAAGAATTGGGTGGCGTCCTTGAAGACCTACATCGCAGCAGTGAGGGGGGTTGAGTGTGTTGAACATTGGATATCGAACATACGTACATTAGGACAGTTTACGCATCCACATGGACTCTGTGAGATACTTCCCATAGTTCCATATGTCACTTCACTGCCTTGTAGTTCCTTATCTCTTCCATTCCGTTCTTCTACGCTTCTCTCCTTGTTCCCTTATTCCACTTACGGACTTTCTTTGTCTTGAGCGCACAGCCCGCACAGCATCATATCCATCTTCTGTCCGGTCTGTTCTCTGCGCCATCTATGTCCTCCATCATTCGCTTACGTATGCAGCTCCTGAGATAGATATAAGGAGGACTCTGGCTCGCTCTGCTCTTCAGTCGTTCTATCACTGACTGAGGAGTAAGTACCTACACTTCTATGCGCTCCTTACACATATGCTTACTGTATCTGTAGTCGCTCCTCTTCGTGTGCTTACAGGTACTACTTATGCCCTCAATATAGTCGTTCTATCACTGACTGAGGATCGCTCCTCTTCGTGTGCTTACAGTCGGTCCCTGCCTTACTCAGAGTTCATCAGAGTGAGGATGCCGTGAGAGCGTGGGGGTGGCATGGACGAGGAAGGAGGAGGATGAGGGGAAGGAGAGTGACACCGGCGGATGCAGAGTGAAGCGATATTGAAGCGGAGTCAGGAATTGAAAGGTGCAAGTTGAGGTTCCGAACGCACCTTCAGAACATCGACCAGCTGCTCCGCAATCTGCCACTCCCTCGTGTTCATCCGGAACTTGTCAAGATCAACACCAAGGTCTCCATCTGTGCAAAACGATCTGACGGCCCGCTTCATCCGCACCGCATTTACCACCATGTCATTTGTCGACTGCCAGCGTGTACAAACATCCTGACGAAGCATCCGCTCCGGCATGTTCAAGTCGGACAGATGCTGCTTCCATGCGGGCAGAAGAACGGTGGTGGACTTGTTGACAGTTGAGGCAAGGGATCGAAGCTGGTAGAGGACAAAAAGGTGAGTATTGATTCTCCGAGCAGATATACAGCATGTATTAACTAGCCTTGGTAAGAACGACGCGAACTGGGCGAACAGCAGCGTAAAACTCAGTAAGCTGCTCCTCCGTCATACCAGTTGCGTCCTCCACCCACTCGTCGTCGTCATCATCGTCGGCAGAAATGTCCACGAGAGATGGTAACTCGTCATCGTCATTGTTTTCGTTCTCGAGCACGTCCTCGAGGTCGTCAAGAGGCTCGGTAAGCTCATCATCGCCATCGATCAGCTCGTCAAGCTCCGGGTCAGGCTTCCGCTTGGCATCCTTCTTCGGTGCGTCGAAATGCTTCATCAGCGCCTTGCTCACCAGCTGAATGATGTGACAGAAGCAGCGGATGTGGCCTCCGGCACGCGAAAATCCGTCAAGCTCCGTCTTGAGATGGTATACCATCGCGTCGTTAGCAGACGCATTATCGCATGTCACAGCCAGAACCTGTGAAGTCGGACGTTTCTTTGTCTTGAGCGCACAGCCCGCACAGCCCTGTAACCATCTTCTGTTTGGTCTGATTTCTGCGCCATATATGTCTTCCCATCACTGCTTACGTATGCTACTCCTGGACAGTATATAGGGAGGACTCTGGCTCGCACTGCTCTTCAGTTGTTCTATCACTGACTGAGGAGTAAGTACCTACACTCTATGCGCTCCTTTACACATATGCTTACTCTATCTGTAGTCGCTCCTCTTCGTGTGCTACAGGTACTACTTATGCCCTCAATACAGTTGTTCTATCACTGACTGAGGATCGCTCCTCTTCGTGTGCTTACAGTCGGTCCTTGCCTTACTCAGAGTTCATCAACCTCGCCAGCAGATCATTCGGATTGGTTCTGGACGCTATCACATCCCAGGGCTTTCAGACGGCCTACATGAAGTTGCCTGCTGGCGACTCTGTTCCTCCCCGCATCGCCAATGATCCCAAGCTTTTCCCCTTTTTCAAGGACTGTATTGGAGCCATCGATGGGACCCACATTCCTGTCTGTCCTCCTTCCCTTACCCGATCTTGTTGGCATGATAGGCATGGTGGTCTGTCGCAGAATGTTCTTGCAATCTGTGACTTCTCCATGTTTTTCGTATACGTCCTCGTTGGGTGGGAGGGCAGTGTGGCCGACAGCACACTTTATAACCATGCAACATCACGTGGTGGCCTCAATATTGCCCCAGGTATGTGCTGCTGTCCTTGAGTATTTGTGCAGAGCAACTTACTACTTCAACAGGAAAGTACTGGATCGCCGACGCTGGTTTTTCTAGCCGTGATTCCTTGCTTCTTCCATTCCGAAGCATCCGGTATCATCTTCGAGAGTGGGCTGAGGCTAATCAACGGTATGTGTTGACTTTATATCATGGGGATGCTCCTATTGACTTGCATATTTTAGGCCACAAAACAAGGAGGAGCTCTTCAACCTCCGACACGCACAGCTCCGCAATGTTATCGAGCACATTTTTGGGGTTATCAAGCGGGAGTTCAAGATGGTTGCGGAGGCGTGTGAGTACTCTATCAGAGTACAATGCGCTATTCCACTCGCCCTCTCCCTTGTTCACAACTTTCTACGCACTCATGACCCTGAGCGTTGCGAGAATGAGCTGCAAATTGGTCTTTGCACTGAGCCAGGCATGAATCCCCATGGAGACAACGAGGCTGGAGATGCAGGTGATGGTGTCAGAGGTGCACAACCTCAAGACGCATCAGCACGAAGGGACCAGATTGCAGAGGCGATGTGGGCACAGTATCAAGAGGTGTTAAGGAGTAGAGGGGATTGATGGTAACTAGTTGGAGATATGATTATAGCTATTACTCCTCCTCTGAGTCTGGCAGCTTTTTGATCTCCTTCTTGTACCAGTAGTCTCTATCCTTAACCTTCTCACCATATTCTAAAAACTCCTTCACCTTCCCATCATCACGGAACAGGGGGCAAGCCTTATATTTAGTACGTGGAGACAGGTCAGCCCGTGCGTCAATGAGGCCCCACGCTTTCACACGCAAAGGCGATATCGCTGAAGACGTTGAAGGGCCTGCATCCTCCGGCTGCACCATGCTGTTCATGAATGTCTCCAGTGAGTGTGTCAGACCATCAAGCGAAGTCTTCGCTGTGGTCCTGGAGCGCTTAGAACGGGGTGGGGAGTTAGGAGCAGGGGCAGCACGACGAGCTGGAGTGATCACAGAGGGTGGAGTGACTGGGCGAGGGGGTGCCTAACAAGGAGGCCACATGAACAGAGAAGAGTGCTGATGTCAAGGAAGAAACACACCTGAGTCATCTCATTCTCATCATCATTGCCCTCCTCACCATGATCTTCGTCGGCCAAAGGAGAGGGGCTACGCTGGGCCACCACCTCTGCACCCAACTCAGAGGAGAAGGCATTATCGCCAACAGCCTGGGTGTCACCAACAATCTGGGACACTAGATCGTAGTGAGGGAATGAGTTGTCACGCCAGTGCTTCATCCTGTTGTATCGCTTTGGGTTGCTCGTCATCTAGTGAGCAAAATTGTCAGCCATGCATATTCGATCATCACAATGCCCAGTACACGCACCAGTGGATCAAGAATGCCACGCCACACATTGTCCTCAGCAAGGACCTGCTGGGTCTCCTCATCCCACCCAAAGCCAGACTTTGACCGGAGCTCCTTCACGATGTTGTAATCACCCTTGATCTTGACCGGGCAAGCACGAGGTGTAAGGGGACAGGAAGGGGACACATCTGAGCAACAGAAAACTCACCCTGGTCCACTTTGCCTTCACCTGCTCCTTCCCAGCAGCATGCCCATGCCCCACGAGCACTGCCGCACACTTGACGTAGGCGGTGGTGTTGAACCCGTTCTCTGCAACCAGGTCGCGGTCGAGCCGGAGTTCAAGGAGAGTCTGCAAGACTAGGGTCTCCTTTTCTGGTGTCCAGATGATGCGAGTAGAAGCCACCTTCACCGGAGGAGCAGGAGTGGTATCAGCAGGCATTGCGAGGGGAGGAGAAGTGGGGAGAAATGAATGCAGAGGGGGCAGAGACTCAGTCTCGGGCACTCAGTGTCGCGCGCGCGCGGTCGCAGGTCTCCGAACGCGCGATCTTCGTTGACGCCTAGCGCGGGAAACTGCGCACATACCGCGCGCGGGCCCTCCTGCCTTTTATGGTAGTAAACACTGGTCGCACACGACCGCTCTCGGGTTACCGAACAGGTCCTAAGCGCCATGGCCATGGGTGATCAGCGCAGCCGCCTGCGTCCTCAACCATGACGTCATTTTGGCCGTCCCGCCCAGAGCGCGGGCTAGTTGCGGGCTCGGGTTGGTGGACTGTCTTGCACGTGCGGCGAGCCAGAATCCGTGGGGGCGGCGGATGTGCTACAAAACGGGTCAGGGATGAATCAGCCATGCTGCGCTGCCTATGTACACGTAGTGCGCACATTGGATACCGCGCAAGGGCACCCCAGTGCGCCCCAGGCCACGAAGGCACGTAGGAGGAGAGGATTTAAAAGAAATAGTAGGTATCTGAGGGTATAAACAGCCAGATCCCAGGCCTATGTACGGGCTGAGAGGATAGCACTAGCCACTGCAAGCGCCCATAGAGCTTCAGAGCGTCGTGCGGACGTTCATCAGCAGGCAGGCAAGCAGGGCCAGGCAGAGAGGGCGCGTGCGAGAGAAGATGAGGGCGAGGGCAGGACTGAGACGGAAACTGGAGAGCGGTGTGACCCAGATCCCTCCTTTAAACAGAGACGGAGCACCTCTTTTGCCTGGAAATATCGAGCCGGTGAAGAGTCCAAAGTCCAGATGCGATGAGGTGATCAGGTGACCGTGTTGCCCCAAACGACACGTGCGTCCAGCCACCTGTGTCATCTACTTCAGCAGTTGCCACACAAGGGTGCGTGTGATATCGAGGAAGCACGTATCCTCACCCAAATTCTTGGCACAAGCTGATACGTTTGCACCCACAGATACCACACGTGGCGCTCTGCATCTCACTAACCTGTCATGTATTTGTTGGTGACGGTCCCATTCACCGGTAGTAGTCGACCAAACCATGCACATCGTTCCCTGTGCTGCCGCTCCCTCGATCTCTAGTGGACCATGCTCGTCGCCAGCCCGGCTGTGAGTACGGGGTGTAGCTGGTGTTTGTAGGCATGCATGTTGTGCTCACCTATGCTGTCAGTCTCAACATCTTGCACATCGCTCACCTCCTACCTTGCCGCCTCACCCATTCTGCCCCCTTTGCGCACATTACCCTGCCATCTGCCTGCAGCTGCCAGCATTGCTTCACTCGTGTCCACGTCACTTGCATCGCCAATGTCACCACGTCTCCCACCTCACTTCGCTTGCACCGCCCCCGCATCGTCTGTCACGCCCCTGTGTCGCCTGCATGCCACGAACCACCTGTTTTGCCCACACCGCCCTTGCCCGCATTTCCTGCGTCGACACCATGGTCTTGACCACAGCAAGCTTTTTGTAACCAATTTGGAGACTTGCGTGCGTCCTCTATTCTTTGCTCTGACTGTCATGCAAGGTACTCACAAACATGGGCATGCAGCCACTGCCCACTCGCTCTGATCCAGAATTCTATGCGATGCTCCGCAGTCTGCCCAGGGTGTTCTAGCACGTGCACAAGGGCATGACGCTGGGTGCGGCGGAGCGCATGCACCATGTTGTGCAGGTGTGGCTGTAAGCCTGTACATCGAGGTGTGCCTGCCAGCGCGCGGCATACGCGTTGTGGGATGGACAGCAGGCCTGGTTTTGAAAATTTCCCTCTTCTCTGGCCGCTGTCCTTGTACGGCTTCAAGAAATCCACGCTGCAGGTCACTGCGTGAGTTTCTGAGGTTTTCTTTGCTCGAGGAAGTGCTGACGGTGCATGCAGGACCAGGGACGTTGCTGATGTGACGTGTCTAGCGGTGTGAATAGCCTGAGAGGCTCTGGCTACACGTGCCATGGCTGACTGCACCTGATGCGGTGCAATGTATCAGGGAGGTTATCAGGTACATCGGACGACCAGGAGATGGGTGACCTAAGGCTGTTTGCGGCTCCACCCACGGATGATCCGGATCCGAACCCACGGATCATGTGACATCCGAGGGCTTGATCCAGATCCGCGCGGCTCAGAGCCTCCGGAAGAGCCGGAGCTGCGAGAGCTGGAGCCGTGATCCGTGGGTGGAGCCGCAAAGTGAGCTGCAGGTTGTGGCTCAGTGCGGATCAGTGGCTCATGTGGATCAGTCACACCTAAAAGGGAGGGCTCTAAGCCTTTGAGACGGTGGACGCAGCACTCAACACGGCAATCACCCAATCGCGGGGGGCGCGGGCTGGACGGGGTGAACAAGGAGGTTAATGCAGAGTTCGAGCGGCGCTGCTTTCAACACCGAGATCGCGCGATCGCGGAGGGTGGCAGCCCGGCACGGCCAGTGAAGATGACATCACGTTATCGCACAATGGCAAGAGGGCACAGAGATCAACACATCGCGATCATGCAATCGCGCAGGACGGAGGGTCAGATGCGGGCCGCGCGGCAAGTAAACAGGCCAGGACACGGAGTAGCTCGGCGCAGTGGGTGCGGCGTCTACGACGCTGATCGCGCGGTCGTGTGGTGGGCGGAGGGCAAGATATAGTAGGGGGCGAAGAGGAGACGGGGAGCAGAGGATTGGGCGATCGCGGTGGGTGGAGGACTAGAGTCTAGTGACATGTCGAGTACAAGTGGAGAAGTGGAGGTAGTGACTCAGGCGGCAATCCAAATGGCCACGATTGCGCGCCGATTGCTACTCGCGGCAGGGCAAAGAGCTGAGAAACACGGAAGAGTTTCATATAAGCCACATTGGTGGCGCTTCGATAGAATACAAGTACAGACGGAGGGAGGGGAGGGGCACAATCTAGTCAGAGACAACAATCGGGTTAGTAGTAACACGTTCCTCCATAGCACGACGAGCACTCGCGCCCTTCTTGTCCTTGAGGAAAGCGACCATCTCCTCCTCGGGGACCAGGGCAGGGATTCGCGCCCAAGATCCGAGGATCGTGTTTGCACGAACAGAGTCATTCCCGAGGGAACGACGAAGGCGGGAGACAGTCAGACGGCCGCGCGAGAACGCACGCTCGGCATCCGTCGAGCTAGCTACAGGAGATCTGCGTCAGATGGAGGAGATATGGACATTGAAGACGACTTACCAGGGATCGAGAGATAATCAAGTGCCATCTGCGCGAGGGCCTTGTTCTCAGAGCCGCTCTTGAGCGCCGTGTTCCAGTACGCGAGGGGGTCACTGACGGTGGTGTTCGGGGGGGAGTTCAAATACTCCTCGAGAGCGTCGGCAGCGTTGTCGACACGAGAGCGAGACGCGAGCGCGGCGAAGAGCTGAGCGGGATAGTCAGTGGAGGGAGGAATAATGAGATGCGGGGAGCTTACCGTGGCACTTGCGCTGCGGCGTGCACCGCCGCGAGTACCAGGTTGGCCGGGAAGAGGAGCGGTGAGCATCACACGAGACGTGGAGGCTGGGATTGGCGGGATCGGAGCGGGGGCAGGCTTGTAGTGCGCAGCGTACTCGTCAGTAATGAGTTCGCGGGCCGTGGTAATCCAGTCTTCTGGCCAGTTCGCGTTGCGGAAGTATGCGAGCTTGTACGCCGGATGGAGGACTGCAATGTATACGGTCAAAACACGCGAGGTTAGTGATGCGTAGATGGTACTGACTCATAGCGATGCGGTACAAGGGTGTCTCATCAGTCTTGCTGTAGTACTTGTTCAACATCTCACGTGCGAGGTAAGCCCCCTTGTGAACAGCGGGATGAAGCTCCGGCTGGTCGACGAAGGTGTCGAGATGCTTCGTGAGCACGTCCATGAAAGGGATCACCTCATGAAGCAGCGCGCGTGTGCTGGAGGAGATCTCATTTGTGGCAAAGAGGAAGGGCTGAGAAGATAAGAGTGAGCACGGTATACATGAGGAATCAGATGAACAAACACTTACGTCCATAAGGTGATACAGCTGCTCGAGGATGGACCATTCGACTTCGGTCAGGATGAAACGGCGGAGACGCACGCTCCGGACGCGATTGAACTGGTGCATGTCGCAGAGCGAGGTGAGCACCGGCTTCATATCAAGGGCGCGGCCGACCACCATGACGAGCGTGTTCCAGCGTGTCTTGACGGAGCGCACGAGCACGCGCGCATGAAGACCCGCTTCATCCGCGAGGTGCTCGAGTTCTTCGCGCACAAGCGGAGTGTGCCACACCTTCTTGGAGAGCTTGGTGATCTGCACGAAACGCAGTAAGCGGACAAGCCCGAGGATGCAACCTCACGATCACGCACCTTCTCAAGTGCCTCGATCGCCTCGTTAAGCTCGCTGGGGGCGCACGGTGTCAAGGTCGTGAAGTCATCCTCCGCGAAGAGGTCTTCAATGAGCTCGTCGTCAGCAGCTTCGCGCGAGTCATCCGGGACGTCGTCGTCTTCGTCTTCACGCTCTGATTCGGAGAGCTCGTCTTGGTCTTCATCGTCGTTGTCGACAGTGTTGCGGGGCTTGCGCACGCGCGTCTTCACAAAGGGTTTAACCGCGGCCTGGAGAGGTCAGGATGAGTGGTGAAGACAACGACACTGGGAGAAATGGCTTGAACGAACCTTGCTGACCAAGTTGAGTACATGCCCGAAGCACCGAACGAGACCGTTGCCGATGCGCAGGTGCGGGTGGTTCTCGCGGAGGGCACGCATAAGTGCAACGTTCACCTCCGCGTTGTCACAGGTGACGCCGATGACCTTTGATTGAGAGTGCTTGTGAGTCATGAGTATATACGTATTCAGAGAATGGCATACCTTTTCCAGAATACCATAGTCCTTGAGGCACTGCTCAAGCTGCTCAGCGAGGTAAACGGCTGTGTGTGCCTTCGTCAACCTGATAATACTAATAGTTAGATAAAATAGTCAGTACTAGATCAAATGTATAGACAACTCACTTGACAAAGTCGAGGATGATATGGTTGATCTTGCCATTGTCGTGCCAGTGCGCCGT